AACCTATGAAGGAACAGTTTTTATGAGTGTTTGAACATGGGACATGGTGTAAGTGCTACAATGCAGTTTGATGATTGGGGTGAGTTTGCCTTTACTTTTCTCCAAAACTGTACAGTAAAATTACTTGATAATAAATACAGTAATAGTCAGAGTCACTCTGAACAGGAATCAAATGAATGAATGAGCAAACCTATGAAGGAACAGTTTTTATGAGTGTTTGAACATGGGACATGGTGTAAGTGCTACAATGCAGTTTGATGATTGGGGTGAGTTTGCCTTTACTTTTCTCCAAAACTATACAGTAAAATTACTTGATAAGAAATACAGTAATAGTCAGAGTCACTCTGAACAGGAATGAAATGAATGAATGAGCAAACCTATGAAGGAACACTTTTTATGAGTGTTTGAACATGGGACATGGTGTAAGTGCTACAATGCAGTTTGATGATTGGGGTGAGTTTGCCTTTACTCTTCTCCAAAACCATACAGTAAAATTACCTGAAAATAATTACAGTAATAGTCAGGGTCACTCTGAACAGGAATCCAATGAACAAATGAGCAAACCTATGAAGGAACACTTTTTATGAGTGTTTGAACATGGGACATGGTGTAAGTGCTACAATGCAGTTTGATGATTGGGGTGAGTTTGCCTTTACTTTTCTCCAAAACTATACAGTAAAATTACTTGATAATAAATACAGTAATAATCAGAGTCACTCTGAACAGGAATAAAATGAATGAATGAGCAAACCTATGAAGGAACACTTTTTATGAGTGTTTGAACATGGGACATGGTGTAAGTGCTACAATGCAGTTTGATGATTGGGGTGAGTTTGCCTTTACTTTTCTCCAAAACTATACAGTAAAATTACTTGATAATAAATACAGTAATAGTCAGAGTCACTCTGAACAGGAATCCAATGAACAAATGAGCAAACCTATGAAGGAACAGTTTTTATGAGTGTTTGAACATGGGACATGGTGTAAGTGATAGAATGCAGTTTGATGATTGGGGTGAGTTTGCCTTTACTCTTCTCCAAAACTATACAGTAAAATTACTTGATAATAAATACAGTGATAGTCAGAGTCACTCTGAACAGGAATCAAATGAATGAATGAGCAAACCTATGAAGGAACACTTTTTATGAGTGTTTGAACATGGGACATGGTGTAAGTGCTACAATGCAGTTTGATGATTGGGGTGAGTTTGCCTTTACTCTTCTCCAAAACTATACAGTAAAATTACCTGAAAATAATTACAGTAATAGTCAGGGTCACTTTGAACAGGAATCCAATGAACAAATGAGCAAACCTATGAAGGAACACTTTTTATGAGTGTTTGAACATGGGACATGGTGTAAGTGCTACAATGCAGTTTGATGATTGGGGTGAGTTTGCCTTTACTTTTCTCCAAAACTATACAGTAAAATTACTTGATAATAAATACAGTAATAGTCAGAGTCACTCTGAACAGGAATCAAATGAATGAATGAGCAAACCTATGAAGGAACACTTTTTATGAGTGTTTGAACATGGGACATGGTGTAAGTGCTACAATGCAGTTTGATGATTGGGGTGAGTTGGCCTTTACTCTTCTCCAAAACTATACAGTAAAATTACCTGAAAATAATTACAGTAATAGTCAAGGTCACTCTGAACAGGAATCAAATGAAAGAATGGGCAAACCTATGAAGGAACACTGTTTATGAGTGTTGGAATATATGACATGGTGTAAAGTGCTATAATGCACTTTGATGGATGGGGTTGAGTTTGCCTTTACTTTTCTCCAAAACTATACAGTAACATGACTTGAAAATAAATACAGTAATAGCCAGGGTCACTCTGAACAGGAATCAAATGAAAGAATGAGCAAACCTATGAAGGAACACTTTTTATGAGTGTTTGAATATGGGACATGGTGTAAGTGCTAGAAGTTGAAGTAAAATGGCAAAACTCCCATTATATATAAAATGTATATGTGTGTGTTTGTGTGTGCGTGTGTGTGTGTGTGTGTGTTTTGAGTATCATATTTCATACTTCAGGTATGAATGTATATTTCATAGATTGTATAAAGGTGTTTATAGCTTATATATGCAATTCAATTATAATTGACAGATTAAAAGCCACCAAAAGCCTGTTGTATTCATTTGCCATTTATTTGCCAAATATTTGCCATTAACATTAACAAAAAAAATGTAAGAAAATAAATAAATAAACATTAATACATTATGTATAATAATTAATGTATACTTTATATAATAACATTAAAATCAACAATAAAAATGCAATATAAATGTATGATAATTAACATTAATATTACATTTCATTAAAGTTAATAAAGTACAATAATGTATTTTATATATATATATATATATATATATATATATATATATATATATATATATATATATATATATATATATAAACATTCAAATTAACAATAAAAATGTAAAAAAAAAAATGATGTATGATAATTAGCATTAATATGAAAATGAATAAGTTGTGTAATAATTAATGAATCACATATAGGGCTACAAACATTAAAATAATAATAAAAAAGTAATGTTTTTTTAAATCATAAAACTGTATTATTTGTGTCCTAATGAGATGGAAAATAGCAGAAAATAGTGTCTAAAAAAACATTAAAATTAACAATAAAATGTAAAAATGATTCATGTTAATTGATATTACTATGAACATGAATATATTATGTAATAATTAATGTAACTCATAGGCCTACACACTTTATAATAATAATAAAACAGTCATGCTTTTTAAAAAAATCATGAAAATGTATTATTTGTGTCCTAATAAAATGTAAAATAGCGGAAAATAGAGTCTTAAAAACAATTTTGACCGCTTCCAGCACCCATACCGTAGGTACACGATTAGACGCGGATACTAAAAAAAAATGTGCGGCTGGCTTGACCGTGTATTTTCAACGCGCGGCCCACTTGACCGCAGTTCTCGTCTGCGCCGGGCTGGTCTCCTGCGGCGGCCGCTGCCGCAGCCGACGCCGCCGCCTCTTGTTCCTCCATCAGCCTCAGCTGCTCTTCGCTATATTGTGGCTTGTATAAATAGCCACGAACATCAGTTTCGAGCAAAAGATTTTCAAAATCCTCGTCTTCCATATCGTGTGTCGTAAATTCAGGCATTATGGTAAATCTAACTCCTTGAGCGCTTGTTAGCTTAGCTTGCTGTCTTCCAAGCAAGATGGCGGATTAATAGTTTAGTTTCTTCAGGTTTAGTCCCACCCACTGATCTGTAATAGGCCGGTGGGGTGAGTGGGTCCCACGCCCTTGAATAATAATGAGCTAAAGGCTGTAGTTTTCTTAATATGCAATGAAATTTATCTTCCGTCCTATCGTGACGCAAAATGACGATATTTACGTCACGATAGGACGGAAGTAAAACACTTAAATCCTTTTTTCTCCCATCTCAGAAAAAAAAACAAGCAAAATTCCACCATCATTATAATATATGACTGGGTTTCTAACAATACAAACCTTAATGCAAATGGGTGAAGTGACCCTTTAAATGTGTTGTATTTTTTTTCCATTTTGAATAGCACTACATTTAAGTTGACAGTAATGTAAATGTTTTTTTTTTTTACTGATAAATACAGCTGAAAACCTATTCTCCATGTTGGGAAAATAACACTGCGGTCCTCCGGAAGAGGGATGTTTGAGCTGGGAATGACGTGACTCCCGAGTTGAGCGCACACGGGTTGGAAAACTAAGATGGACGCACAACCTTGTGCTTGCTCCCAGACGCAACTTCAACTTGAGGAGGCGTTCCACTTAAAAGTTCCTTCTGGGAACTAGCAATTATCCACTTCTGAGGACAAATGGAATGCACCATAAATAACTATTGAAGGAGTTATTGTATTACAAGCATGATGGGTATCACAGTTTTAGAGGTTGTTGCGGTTATCAGAGATGTGCAGAGCCCACAAATGCTCAATTTATGGTTAAAAAATAAACTTTTTGTCAAAAATGTGACATTAGGGTGTGTGAGATATTATTGGTTCAGATAACATATTTCAAGTTTTTGTTGATTAAACAAATCTCCTTCATTGTATTAACTCATTTTTTTTCATTTCAATTAACTTAAATTAAGGCAATCAGGTTACTTACTTTTTTAAGTTAAACTAACAATATTTGTTTACAGTGTATATCAGATAAGCAAACCATGTTAGAGGAAAGGTAGCCTTTCCTATGTAAAAATTCCTGCAATCCAAGAATAGCTCTTTAACCCTGAAGGAGAGAGAGTCTCTGTGAGCTGACGGTGAGAAAAAGTAACGCACTACTTCCATAATGTTCCCCAATGTGTCACGTCAGTCTCATTGTGTGGCACGTATCTCACTTCCCATCTATCAGGAGTCAATGTGGTGGCAGTAAAAATTGCACAAATAAGGTCTTTCCATTCATAGGTGCTGATAATTAACATAAATGTGTGAGGGGAATAATTGCATCCATCGCTGATGTGCCATCACTTTAACGTCTATTGTGTGTGGCACACCGCGCGACTTCATGTGAGACGTAACTGAAATAGCACCGTTCCATTTAAACCGGGAAGCATCAGTTGCTGAAGTAATTAATGAGTGATGATCTATTAATGAAAAAACGTGTGATTAGTATTACCTTTGCAGAATTAATTCTTCAGAAGTTAATTAATCGAGTTCAAAGGAATGAGGACAGGGGACTGAGTTTAGAGTGCTATAACACGTTTCCTCGACAGGAAAAAAGAAAAAGAAGAACGTGGAATTATGCAAGTCTCTTTTCTTTTGCTTTCGCTGAGGTGTTAAAGATGTTGTTTTTTTAACGTTTTCTAATAAAACACCTTATGTTGTTCGGCATTGCTATAGCATTATTATCACCACATTATAAAATACATTTACAGTGTGTGTTTTTTCTTTTTAAATAAGTTTCCGTCCATAAAATGACTTTTGTACCATATGTTTTTGGTCCATACATTAACAACTTTTTTGTGTTCTACAGGAGAAAGAAAGTCATAATGGTTTGGACGGAGCAACATGACAGTGAGTAAATGACAATTTTCATTTTTAACTATCCCTGTGAAGACCAGACTCTATTGTGCGATTGAAACTCGTGAGGCTGTAACAATAGTAAATTCCCTGCTTGAAGATTATCCTGTTTAGCAAACAACAGAAAGAGTGATCTTTTTTTTTTTCTCCGCCGGGTTAAGTAGCTTAGATATCCTCAGTGATTTGCCATGGCGACAGAAAATTATATTTCAACAAAATCATCAGAGCATCATTTCTATAATCCTCGAAAAAGAATAAGCTTTGTGAAATTGGAATACACAGACAGACCATGACTGATGCCGAAATTCCACACTGATATTATCCTCAGCGTTAAGTCTTGAGTCTTACTGCTACGCTGTACAAGAGCAAGACAGATCTATTATCTATAATGAAATCTATTTCCATAAGTGCAAAGATATGATGTATGATGCCACAGGGTCTTTCATACCAGTGTTGAGGAGTAACTAAAGCAATAATGCTATTCACTTAAAGGTGATGTACACCTTTACACACTTCACCTTTAAATGCCTTTTTAGTTGTATTACAGGGCTTTATAGTGTATATTTGATAATACTACATTATAATATTGATGTGAACACACTTTGATAACCTCATTGTTCTGTGATTATATATTGCTTTTTTTAGAACAATTATATAATCTGATTTATTTAAATTATACACTACCATTTAAAAGTTTGGGGTCAGTAATAAATTCATACTTTTATTCAATAAGGATGCATTAAATTAATCAAAAGTGACTGTAAAGACATGTTAAAAATTGGAGTGTTATGCTGAAAATTCTGCTTTGTCATCACAGAAATAAATTACATTTTAAAATATATTAAATTTGAAAACAGTTATTTTAGGTTGTAACAATATTTCACAATATTACTTTTTGATTATTAAATAAGTGCAGCTTTAGTAAGGATAAGAGACTTTTTTCAAAGACAGTTATGTTGTACCGACCCCAAAATGTAAAATTAAAAAATACTATAAATATCAATGTGGTACTTATTTGTTTGACAAGGTGAGTTCACACCGTGTCGTAATTCGCCTTTGGCTAAGCCCCGCCCCCCCTTAGTTACTGTTGCTATGTCCGACAAACAAACTTCATCTGGGCTCTGGTATCAACATGGCTTATGCTGTGACAGCTCTTCCTTCTAAAATTTTATCAAACTTTTATACAGCAGCAAATAAAGTGTCCGATAGAAGTAGGCAAAAAGGGCTGCAATATACGCTCGAAGGCTATATTCACGACATACAGGTGAAACGCAAGGAACAAGAAGTCATCCAAATAGAGGCAAAAGCATACCGGTCACAGTCAAAAAATGAACCACCGCATATCCTACTAATCGAGACGTGGGCTGGGACTAACAATATCAAGAGCAACACTGTTCATGCAAAGCTGGGTAAGTCTCTATTCACTTCTATAATCGTTATTACAAAGCAAACGGACTACGCGAGTATAACGTTGTATTTATTAGCAGCGTGTTCTAGACGACACTTGTCAGGATTTGACTTCGGTTTTGGGAAGGGAAAAAAACGGACACCCCCCTCCAACCTCTCTAGGAAACGCGTATCTGTGTTACAAATTCCCCAGGCACAACGTTTAACCATATTTTTGATAAAACTACGACGGTAATAGCCTGTCGAGACCAAAAATATGAGACGCCTGTGTTAAAGTCAATGGAGCGCTGTGAAAAAGTGTCGGACCCCTGTGGGAACTCGTTCTTGGCTGCGCTGTGATTGGTCAATCTACATTCTAGGGTGTGGCTTAGCCAAAGGCGAATTACCGCAACTATTCTGAACTGTGATAAGCCTTCACATGCTTGCAGAACTTGGAATTCCAACGTGTAAACTTGTAATTTTCTGAGAGCTACAACTTGTACCACATGGCCGATGCATCACCTTACCACTACAGATTTTGGGTGTGTTCTCAGTTGTAGTTCGGTTCTCTTTGTTCTTTTGGCCCACACCAAAAAATGAAAATGATACATTTAGTCCTGCTTTGCTGTGCAAAATGTGTGCATATGATGTAGCTAAGACTCGTGAAGAGCTTATAAAATGTGTAAAGCAGTCAAAACAGCGGCAGGAATCCCTCCGTCACACACACAAACACAGATCTGCTGCGAGGAGACGCGGTTCTGATGCCTGTACCGAACTGTGATGGGCAACATCACGACTATGACGAGAAAAAACAGTTATGCTTGAGCATTCTGTCCTTTTTAGGGTCGCATCTTGTGACATCAGGACCTGTTTTTGGTTGGTTTACATGTCTTTGGTCCATGTTGCGTTCATATTTCAGTCGAACTGCACCAGAGTTCATTTTTATAAGAATCTTTTCAGGGGTCTCGGTCCACTGGTTTGGTGCCCACCAGGGTTCAGATGGCAGCGTTCACACTTAATCAAATGAACCGCACTAACAGAGCAATCGCACCAGTGTTTGTTTTAATCGAACCAAACCTGCTAAGTGTGAACAGGTGTGTTCAAGCGGCGCTGTGCAGACCGATCAGTGTATGACATCAAAGTAACGCAAGAGCCATTCCAGCTCTGTATTGCTCCATTGCTCCATGTTTTTTTGGTTGCTCTCAATTATAAATAATGTGAAGCAGTCCTGCACTCATCTCTATCATCAGTGAATATATTGTGATACTGCCCAGCCCTAGGCCTCACAGTAGACTTTCACACTTCGAAACCGTCCTATCAGATCCAGTGATCCCGAACCCTGTGGTTTTATGTCAATAAAGATTTTAAGTTCCACTACGACCTCTTACAGTGTCTGATCTCTTTATTTCTGGATTCACAAGAACCCGGCCACCAAGCCCTCTCACCACCTTCATACACCACAGATTAATCACCATTCAACATGAGTGTGTTCTTCGCTCGGTGCTTGCCCTTGTCCTTTTGTCACTGCCGTGAACCTGCACGCTGTGTTTTTAATCAAAGACCACTGTGCCAGACCCAGCACGTCCCCTCCCACCGAGCCCAGAGGATGCAGCGGAACAGTAGGGCGGCAGTAACGGATGAGCGCTAAGCCGGGGCCGGAGATATTTAAGAGGAGCTAATTGTGAGAAGTACTGGAGCACGTGGAGAGAGACCGTACGATGTGGTGTGAGCGATGCCCCGCACCCGCGGTCGGCTGGATGGCGGTGCTTCATCACTGCTTCCAGAACAGGTAATTAAGGAGCCACCTGCCGAGCCGCACCAGAGAGACCTGCTCTACCGGAGAGCTCCGCACTGGGCCCCGCGGCACGCACCTCCAATCAAAGTATATCACTCATTTTGTAAAAGTCCACCTCTGCCTTTCTCTCTCTCTCTCTCCCCTCCCTCTGTCACAAACACTACTTTATTTATTATGACTAAATGTCATCTCAAGAGAGGCATGAGGATGTGAGGGAGAGGCAGGATTACTCTGTCATCTGGCTTTGAATTCCATGCCATCTTCACTCGTGTCATAAAGCTAGCTCACCCTTCAAATGATAGTTGTCATCTTTGTTGTTCAATTATTTTTTTTTCTTCCTTGCTTTCTTATTTAGGAGAATGTCAGGACTGCTCTATTCCATACAAAGAACATTGTGAATATATTATTCATCGAAAATCTCCATGGTTCACTTTCATTGTTTGTAAAAGAGCAGCATGAATGTTCTACTATAAATGACTCATTTTCTTTTCCACACAATGACACGAAGTTGATGAAAGAAGTTTCATTTTTGGGTATCTTTTAATTAGTGTAGATTACTTTAGCTTATCTTTTAGTTCAGCACATTTAGCATTTGTTCAGACAGTCAAGTGGTATTTTAGTATCATTGATACTATAATATTATAGTTATTTTTAATAGTTATTAATGTGTATATATATATATATCATTTTCATAATATACTTTTTGTTTGTTTTTGTCATTTTCAAAAGTGATTGCTTTTAATGTAGTTTTATTTATTTATTTATTTCAATTTAAGTTATTAGTATATCAAGTAAATTAAATTGAAATTGAAATTTAAACTAAATGAAAATGAGCAATGTTTCCTTGGTAACATGCTAAAATATTTTTTTAAAGTAAAAAAAAGTATTGGTTCAGTTTCGTTAATGTTTAATTTATTTCAAGTAACATACTGTATATTACAATAACCCTAAGACAAGCAGAAAATACCTTGCTTTACTGTAATATAATGAAATTGGAAGCAATTTTTAAAACATTAAAACTCTCTCTCTCTCTCTATATATATATATATATATATATAATTTAGTTTTTTATTTATATATATCAAAATAAATGATTATTAATTATCATGTACACACACAGACTGTCATTTTGCAATTAAAGGTGCAGTAAGTGATTTCTGAGAAACGCTGTTGATATTTGAAATCACCAAAACAAACACGCCTATCTTGATAGATCTGCCCCCAAATTCACGAACACGCTATGCAACACTGGCACCTCCCCCCAAATGAATGTATACGCCCCTTACTGCTGACTGGCTACAAGTGTGTTTTGGTGCTCGGTCCGATTCACTTTCAACAGGGTTTCTTTTAGAAATAGCTCACTGCACCTTTAATGAATTTGGAGTTTAGTCAATCCAGAAAGTTGTACTAACCCACAACCAAAATGCTTCATAGACTGAATCGTTACTGGACCTTTTTTTAAGTACAAACCATGAAGTATACATACCCATCATATTCTTGCAAGCTGCAGTCTTTCAGAATGGACAGAGCCTGGCCCTTTCGCTTAGTGACTGCGGAAAAGAAAGAGTTAATGTTTTTGTTTTTTTTAAAAGGAAAGCACTCCAAACTGCCTTTAGTACCCTTTTCCAGGCATTGGCAAATGGCTTGAGCCGAACATATGGTACTGGCTGTAAAGCAGAATTTATACTTGCATGCTGTTTGCATTTTTAATCAAGATTATGAGTTGTGGTAGAAAGAGGCAACCACTCTTGTATTCCAAGCTGCGCAAAACAAGATTTTTCCCAGCATTTAATGTGTGGTTTGCTATTTAAATTACAGTACTGTGATGTAACAAGGTAAACAAAAGGTCATGGGTCAGAAAAAAAGAGGGTTAGATGTGGTCAGCAGAGTTTGTTGGATATAGGCTTGATCCAGTATAATTGTCGATTCAGGTTTGGCGTAGTGTGGCTGAAACCCCTGTCCTGTGTGGCACGCGGAAATGCCACTGAATGTGGGGGAAGAGGGGTGGCACGCCGCAGATGGCATTGTGCACGCCCGTGCCCCACTTAGCATTTTCTGGGGCACCTCCGCCATGGAGCGGGTCCCAGCTGTGACCACCCATCAAAGGGCTCACCGTGGCTGATGTGACACTTGCAGATGGATGTTTATTTTTTTGTTGTTGTTGTTTGAGAATGTGTTTTATGATGCACACAGAGATGCAAGTGTGTCTGCTCATCATGACATGCCCGGCTATCCCTGGTACCAGCTCAACTACAGATGCACGTGGACAATGGAACATGCACACAATTGTGGGGAAAGAAATTCATATGATCATCATTTTAAATGTTTTTTGTTTTAATTTCTGAAACATTATAATGTGTCTTTATGTGTTTGAGGTTGGTAGGATTTTTTATATTTTTGAAAGAAATCTCTTATGCTCACCAGGGCTTCATTTATTTGATCAAAAATACAATAAAAAAATTAACATTTTGAAATAATATTACAATTTAAAATAACTGCTTTCTATTTTAATATATTTTAAAATATAATTTATTCCTGTGATGCAAAACTGAATTTTCCGCATCATTCCTCCAGTCTTCAGTGTCACATGGGTCCTTCAGAAATCATTCTAAATGCTGATTTGCTGCTCAAGAAACATTATTATCAATGTTGTACACAGTTGTGCTGCTTAATATAATATAGAGAAAAAATATGATACATTTTAATAGGATTCTTTGAATAGATAGTTCAAAAGAACAACATTTATTTTAAATAGTTTTTGTTTAGTAACAAACATTTGATCAATTGAATGTCCTTGCCAAATAAAACAAATCATTCATTTTAATTTATCCATTCATTCAATTAATTTATTATTATTATTATTATTATTAGTAGTAGTAGTAGTAGTAGTAGTAGTAGTATCATCATCATCATCATGTTTGGGGTTAATGATGTGTAGTTATCATCTTGTTAATAAAAATTATTCATTTCCATTTTGATATCCAATTTTGGAACAAAATCAGTGTCAATTGATGTTTAAAAAAAATATTGCCACTGATATCATTTATACTCAATTTTATCATTTTAAATATTTACACATATACTGCAGAAACAGAAGTACATCATTATTCCAGGCATAGCCATAGACTCAACTAGTTCAATTCTTAGTGCTGACCTGTAGGGGGAGCACTTGCAAATCAAAGTGTAATTAAAGGATCGTGTGGCCCTGACCTTGTCAAACAAAACCACAACCCAGGCATATTTTTCATATCTCACTAACTGATTGAAAATTCTGGCCTGAACTGTGCGATATCATTCATTTTACTTCAAAATTAACCTTGGATTTAAAACAGTGCTCAAGTATACAGAGCTGCAGTCTAAGCACATCAAATGCTAAATTAGACTCTTAAATGACCATGTAAATGCCAAAAATGACATTTCCACATACTGTACAAGCATTGGTTATCAGTAAATAGCTGTGAATTAAACACTGTAATTACTTCTCTTGAACGTGACATTTCACGACTGCTGCCCGTGCATCTCAGTCTATACAGCTAATTCGATCATATATATTCTCAAAGCTCTGCGTTCCGAGCGGAGATATTTAATTTCTATTAGGTAAAATGTTGTTTAATGGCTCCACCTCGAGCTCTCAGCCCTCGGGAGCAAATCATCAGGAAACGGATTCTATTACTGTTCAAATGGCTTCTGGAATCATTCAGGTACCCACATTCATTAGGGCACAGATTGTGGAGTCTCCTTTTTAAAAGCAGGGGGCGCCTGGTGCGTGTTCGGGTGTGTGTGTGTGTGTGTGTGTATAGTCCGTGGTTGTATAGTACGGGGTCCTGTGTGTGTGGGAGGAGGTGGGTAAAGGGGAGGAGAGGGGGGAGTCCCGCACTGTGTTAGAACAGATGGGTGCAGTCCCTCCCCCTGGGTCAGGTTACTGACGGAGGATACACTTCTCCTGTCATTATGAGTGTGAGATGCATTTAGAACAATCCACAGCAGTGTTGTACAGCTGCTACTTCCAGTATGAGCACACACACACATACACAACCTCAAGCACACAAACACACAAATGGATATCAAGAGATTTAGGATTAAAAGAAAAGGAGAGCTTGGTTGTGAACAGCATGTACAAATATTTGTGCATAAGCATCACATTTGTATGCATTTGGTATACATTTTATTAGTTCTTGCATTATCTGGCAATGTTTTTGGAGTTGCTCACCATGCTCTACTGGTACATCAACACAGCAACACATAAAAAAGCAAAATAACTCCATCCAAAGAGAAAAAAATGTACGAGGTGGCGGGCAGTGTTGGGGTAAACGATTCGAATTACAAGTAACACAAGTTACATAATCAGATTCTTTTACTAGTTACTTGAAAAAGTAAAGAGAAATCAGGAGTAAGGTGAAGATGTGCGCTGTGTAAACATGATGCTTATTGTAGTTCTAAATGTGAGCATGCATTTACTCAACTCACTTGCTCAAAAACAGATTCAGTATTCCTCATAATTAACATAGACAGTGAAATGAAAGCTCACTATTACGCAAACCTCCAATATTTAAATATGTGAAATAGCACAAATGTACTTTATGTATTTAATCTCCCTTTATTAACCAATGTCTTTGCTGCTGACCTTCGATGATCCAATTCAGCCATACTAATAAGCACAAATTACTTTAGATAAACATATTTGTGTTTAATTTTTTTGTTTGTATTGCTGAAATGAGAGTGTTGAACATCTCCTGCGTCCTATTTTTCTGCAATCCAGAATGGCAGCACAGCTGAAAGGTTTGTTTCAGCCTGAGGCTTATTCATTTCACATTTGGTGTGAAAGGGCCTTTACATTTACCAAAAATAGAACTTTTAGTTTTTTTGTTATTAAAAAAACAAACATACAAGCAAGCCCAGCCCAGGTGAGAAAAAGTAATGCTAAAGTAACGACGCATTACTTTCCATAAAAAGTAACTGATGCAATGTTACATTTTTACTTCTAGTTAAGCAATATTGGAAGAATTATTTTAAAATTAACTTTCCCCAACACTGATGGCGGTTTAGTCTAAATTTGTATGATGTGACTTGTACAGAAACGTATGATTTTTAGAAAAACGTAAGCATGAAGGTCCGCCCCTAAGTGAGGAATAAGCAGATTGTACAAAAACGTACGAATAAGATTGTATGAATTAATACAAATTAAGGACCATTCACACCGTAAAATAGTCAAAAATTGCCATGAGAGTGTGTGGATTAACTACATGTTTGCTCATGCAAAAGCTCGACACCATGATGTTAGGGTGCTGTTACTGCATTGATATATCGTTGGATAGGTTCTTATGGATCTATGTGGTTGCAGGGTGAAAATCCGAATCTAATCAAGTTTTTGTCCAATTTTCGAATGAATATATCTAAATTTCCTTGAAGAGAGATACATTTAAAAGCAACATATTAAAAAAACTGTTTTCAGAGCATGTGTTTTATTGATTTTTTTTCCCCCACTTATTTGAGGTATAAACTATTTTTTTTAAATGCATTTAAAAATGCATTTAAATTCAAGATAATATGAATTTATGAAAACTATATCTATGAAAAATAATGATTTATTCACATTTCTTAAGTAAATGACAGTATTGTTTCAAGGATTTTTAGAGTAAACAAAAATTTTCAGTATAGGATATTATAATAAATATTAGTCAAATGTAATATTTTTTTTCCACTAAATGTTGATTTTTAGTGTAATGCATGAGAGTTGGCAATTAAAATGGTAAACAACACTAATTTCGCTTTTAAGTGTGTATTCAAATGATGCATTAACATAGGGACCTTGACATTCCTCACCCTAAAATATTGATTTCCTATGATCCACTGCCAATGCCTAATGGCGTAAAGCACCAGCTTGTTAGCATATAGGGAATTGTTGAGCACTGAGTGATGAATCCTATGAGCGAACATACCCTGAGGGCAGACGCTAATGCACTTCGACCTCGAGTGAGGCCTGAGGGGGCGGGGATCACCTGTGCGTGAAGACTTTAAGCTGAACCTGAGAGGAAAAGCCACCTATGTAACCGTTTGCTATCCCATACAGTGCAGATGTGTGAGACTTACCGGTGACGTTGGTTTCTATGTCAGCGAGCTTGAAGAGCGGGGCCACTTTGTCCAGGTAGATCTGGTACGCCTCTTTCTTGTGGCTGATGGGGTTCACAAAGACTTTGAGAGATTTAGGACGGTTCTTGAAACCTGCAGAGCAAAATAAAACAAAAGAAACAAAGAGCGGGAAGATTCATCAATCCCCTCGTGTCATGATTCCCATGGGCATTCTTTTAAGTGCTTGAAACTCATCCAGTTTAGAGAAGTGCACATCTGCTAATGTGAGCCAAAGCCCCTGTCCTTCATAATAATGATTTCTTGCCGTGAGTTCAGCTTTTGTCTGCCACCCTTGCTGCAGAATGGCTCTCACACAGCGTGAGTTCAGTCTTCAAAAATTGAAAAGGTCAGATCAGTGTCTGTTGTTTACAGTGTCTGAATATCTGCCAAGAATGAGGAGAAGGCTTGAATAAATACACCATGTAGGCTCTCTGATGCTGATTTAAACATTGTCTTATTATTATCAATGTTGAAAATAGTTATACTGCTTTATATTTTTGGGGAAACTGTGATACTTTTTTTCAGGATTCTTTGATGAATCGAAAGTTCAAAAGAACAGCATTTATTTGAAATAGAATCGTTTGTAAGCGTATGTCTTTCCCTTCACTTTTGATCAATTTAATGCATCCTTACTGAATATAAGTAATCATTTATTTAAAAGAAAATCATACTGACCCCAAACTAGCGTATATATTTGAAGTATTGTGGAATCGTGGAATCTCCCCTCCCCATCACTCTTTCTGACTGTCTCTATATGTCCTTCTTTGCAGTATTGAGTAACAGTAGATCATAATTAGCAGAAATTAGGGAGCTGCTTTCTCTTCTGGACTTCCTGGAGTGCCTGAGATCGATGGAAGCTGAGGTGAAGCTCAACACTCTCTCTCCCTGCTCCACCATCTCCCTCATTACTCTAATCCGGCCCCTGAAGCTCTCGACCCTCGACCTGCTAACGAGCCGCTACCCTCGGCTTGCCCTCCGCCGTACCCCCTGCTGACATCACAGCGCAAGAGTTCCAGGGGGTGCCCAAGGTCACAGTTCAAATAGACACAAAACGTGCGCGCAAGTAGATGCAGGAAGTGAGGTGGGGAGGCTGGGGGGATTTGGGATCTTGAAAGAAGATCGCGAGTCTCGCTCAGCGTGGGGATGCTGATCCAATCTCCCACTATGTGGCTCTTGGGGGCCGCAGTGCCGGGACGCTGGGGTCCTTGCGGGGAGCAGGTGCAGGGGGGCGGCACCAGCACTGCTGTTATAGCTGTGAATGGGGCTCAGGAGGCTCAGCAACACTCATCCTCACCGAGGGGGCTTCAGGCCCACCGCACAACACATGAAAGCAGCGTTGTGAGGCTACGCTCATCTATTGCATCAGATTTAGTGTGCACATTTGCGTCACTGCTTCATGAAGCTCAAAATACGCAAACAAAAAGATGCAAGAGTATCTACTTTTGGTTTCTGGTATGCCCGAAATACCCTAGCACTGTTCCAAAACCATTTGTGCTACCAATATAGACACCCTTATATCATAGTTGCGAGGCAATAGCTGTGCTAAAAGGTAGGTGGCATAACTATACTGCTTTCTATGATGCAAAATTTGTACCTCAAATAATGTATACTAGAGACGGCAATACCAAAATGCACTGCAACAAGCTCAGTAAAAAGATACCTAACAAAAAAAAAAAATTATCAAAAAAGTCCATCAAAGTTGTCCTAAGACAAGAACGTGTATTATTCAAAATTCATGTATAACTTTGATGAAAGGTTTTGATCCACTTCAAATGTTGACTACTGTATATAGTATTTATTACTACATCCAATTTATTAGAGCTTATCATCATTTTATTATCATTTGTTTTTTAGAGTATTACATTGTTAGTTCAGCAACATGCTAATGCCAAAAATTGTTCCTAAAAGGTTACTTATTATGAGGTTGTCTTCAAGTTAGGATCCTGTCTTAGCTGCCTATGTAGTCTGCCTATGTGCCTATGCAGAGAGACAGCTCACCAGGTTTTGGAACAAAGCCCTCATCTCTCATTAAATCATTACCCTGAAATGGGAAACTATGTTTCTGTTGTTTAAATGATCATATCTGAGCTGTTGTTCAGGATAAATCTAAACACCACAGAGGGGAGACTGAGGACGTAGCCTGCTGCTTGCATGCACGATACCGTGTTACTATGGCACATAATCCCATGTTTGTGTGAGCGATGCACGGTGGCTCCCAGGAGCTCACTGAAAGACAATCCAGACGAAGGGGCCACACTCAGGTTTCACCTCCACGAGCCAGCCCTGTTTGTGTTCCCGCAAAAGGCCACTGTGATTAGCAGACTTTAGAGAACCTGCGTTCACACGTTAATTATAACCTTTTGGGGATGGCAGACGACTCATCTAAATGTTGTGTTCTATGTCGTTAATCACTTTTGTAGTCTGTTTTAAGATAAAGCTGGAAGCCATTTATTCATATTTTTTGCTAAAATGGGTGAATTTCACAAAACCTGTTTAGAACATATCTATTTGACTAACAAAAAATAATAATAAATATGAATATTTTTATGACCATTTAAGGTAATATATGTATTATTACAGTACAGTAATATATATACTGTGTGTGTGTGTGTGTGTGTGTATATATATATATATATATATATATATATATATATATATATATATATATATATATATATATATATATATATATATTGTATTGAACAGAATATTTTCATATTGAACAAATCTGATATATATAAAATGCATTTGTGCAGTTCAGATTTGTTCAATATGACCTGGATGAAATATGACCCTGGATGTTTTTGTGACATTCACCCACATGCCCTTCATGTGAACAGGTTGGTTCTGTTTGCCCTCTCAATAGCTTTGAAGTGACGTCCACATTTCAGACACATGTACCTGCCACCTGTGGACATTCCATGAGGTCAGCACTTACTACAGCGATGCAGCCGCCCTGTGACTCAGAGGCTTAGGCTTCTACCCCTGAGGGCTATCAAGACCGGCTAATGTCACCCAACACAGCGGCTACATCTGTCTCTGTCCAGCCCCCATCTCAGGGCACAGAGGGTGCTGATGGGAAAGGTAAGGAGCATCTGAATGGTGTGGCTAAGGGTCTCCCTGTGGAGAAGATGATTCGGCACAGGGGAACACTTTTCCCATAATCAGGGGTAAATTACCTGAGAGGGGTCAGGTTACACATTGATTTCAGAGACAAACAAAGCCCCAGGACAGCCCGTAAACACTCGCTCACTGCGCTAATGAGAGGACTGACCATACAGTACATTGTTTGATCACAAAGCATCGATGCTTCATGTTACAGTGCAGCGTTATTTTGTGATCGTGAAGTCATTCTGTTCTCAGGGTTATGCACCCATCTTTCCATTCCAATTAAATTCTTGTTTTAAATGTAAGGAAATATAATTAAAATCAGTTGAAATCCAAAGATAATCATAACTGTGATTTTAACTAAAAAAAGCAAAGTTCATCAAGATAAACTTTGGATATTAGATTGACAAATCCTTTTGAAAGTTTTGAAAACATAAATTTAGAAATGGATGGATGGATGGATGGATGGATGGATGGATGGATGGATGGATGGATGGATGGATGGATGGATGGATGGATGGATGGATGGATGGATGGATGGATGGATGGATGGATGGATAGATAGATAGATAGATAGATAGATAGATAGATAGATAGATAGATAGATAGATAGATAGATAGATAGATAGATAGATAGATAGATAGATAGATAGATAGATAGATAGATAAAAAAAATTTTGTATAATAACAGTGTGTTGACTTGGCCAAGCCCCTTGAAAAAGACAAATAGAGGAAGAGAGAGTCAACGTGCATAACACAGCCATCAAACTGCACTTAAGTAACCCATAGACTGTTCCACTCGCTGAGCCCACAATACCCAAACGGGCTTTCTGGGGTGCACAGAATATTTGCTAATCCTCAAGAACAGATGTCTTATTTTTGCCCTGAAATCCCTGGCTGGCGAGGGGAGTGAGCCCTCCAACGGATAAGCCTAGATTGGGGCCTTGCAGTGGGAAAGGTCAGGATCGGAGAGGAGCTGGATCCGGCAGGCCCGAGGGGAGTTAAGCGATCTGGGGGCCATACAGGAGATGGAGCGGGTGAGAGAAAAAGAGCGTCACTGTCCTGTGCCACTTTCCTACCGGCCGTGAGATCTCCATACGGGGGACGAGTGCTTCGACATTTCCTTAGATCCTCTGCCAAGAGCGGAGCATCTGGCATGGTGTCAGGGACTGGCATTAGCGCGCATTAGCAGTGGGGGAGACCCAGCCCTCTCCAGATTTGTCCCCTCCAGCAGGGGCATCACCAGGCAGGAGCTGCACCAACCGCTAGACGAGATGGGGAACTGCGGTGGAGGTTTGGGCTTCAAATCAATACACTTGCTTTCATTGGAGCAATTAATTCACACAGGCGCCATATAATGAGAAAAACCACGTAGAGGCTCGGAGAATAAAATTAAGTGTGTAATGCATCCTATTAATTATTCCATGTTAAAATGTGGAACGCACATGCATATTGTTCAATTAGAGCCATTGTAGTTCTCGGTGTGGACAATAACACCTTTCCTAATATTAGCCAGAGAGGGGGAAAAACAGCACCATGTGTTAGGTGCCTCCATTATGTCTGCGTACATGTCTATCTATCCGGGGGCGGGTGTGACAGACAGAGAAATGGGGAAGATCCGATGGGAATACGCAGAAAAAATCCACAAGCAGCACTTGGTGAAAGTGATACTGCAGTCGTACCTACAGCAGAGTCCACAGGAGCATCTGTCCATCCTGAGACGTCCCAACAGAGCCCCATATACCTTTCACGGTGCCGTTTAGGGGTGGGAATCTTTAGGCACCACAAGATTTGATTTGCTTTTGAAACTTCCAGAAAAAATGAGCAAAAATTTTACCTTTAGGGTTACAACAGCTTGTCACTGGAGTAGCACCCTTAATGGGACATCTGTTTATCTTATTTACCCCTAAAAGTTTCTAGTAGTACTTTAAGGGTACATGTTACAACTCTAAGGTATGAATATACACCTTTAGGTACTGTCCACG